CTGTCAGCTACACGCACACACATCCCTTCCTTGCTGCCTCTGTATCAGAGGCAGCGGGGGGGGGGGGAGCCAATGCCAGTGAGGAACCGGCTTTTAAGCCTACTCCCCGTGAGCACCAGATCCTGTAGAACCACCTGTCCCCAAACGCCCCGTGAGCACCAGATCCTGTAGAACCGCCTGTCCCCTACCCCTGCTGCAACCTCTGAAAGAGAGGTAGCAGTGAGGAGAGTGAGGGGCACAGGCAGGAGTGTCCCCTACCCCTGCTGCAACCTCTGAAAGAGAGGTAGCACTGCGGAGAGTGAGGGGCACAGGAAGGAATTGATAGGCATGGGGAGCCAGCTTTTAAGCCAGCTCTCTGCATATTCTGGCTCCACGGAGCTGCTTCCCCCTCTTTGCTGCCTCTCACAGAGGTGGGTGGGGGCTAGGCCAGCTACCCACGAGCATCGGCGCCACCTGCCACCTCCCCACTCTGCTTCCTCTATCAGAGGCAGCAGTGCGGGGTACCAGGAGGCTCCCTGGGAACAGGGCCAGGTGCGTGCTGGCCCCCCTTCCCTGGGGACTATTGAATGGTTGTGTAACCACTAACATTTGACGTGATTACATGATTATTCAGTTACATGCAATCTAGCATCTATCTATTCTAATGCGCACACCACAGGAAGTGCAGCAGATTCTGCTGTTCATTTGCCTTAGTTAGGGCTGCCAGTCCTCAGGAAAAAATATTCCAGGCTCTGCCTCATAGTGCATGTTGTTATTGGCTGGGATGAACCTTCTTGAAGCTGGGGGTGTAAAAGACCCATTTTGTTCAGGAGAAGGATAAAAAGCAGTTGAGCTCTGTTATGGAACTAGACAGCTGAAACAATAAAAGCACCACCCCAAACACTGGCACATGGCCGGGCTTCAGTAGAAGTTGAACCATGTGGCCCAAGGGGTTTCCCTGGATAGTGACACAGCAAGTGCAGGAGCTAGGGCATTGATTGGTGTAGTTGTATGTGTCTGAGTGTGTGAGAGAAAAAGACACAGCTCAGGAGCACAGAGCCAAGGAGGCAGCCAAAACAAGCACAAGGAGCATGACCTTGAGGAATTGCTGGCTGGAAAGGGGCTTGGAACTGTGGGCAAATAAATTGTTTCCTGGTGTTTGATTGCTGCTGCATTCAAGTAAATAGGACTTTGCTCATTCTTTGTAAACAAAAAGGATTGCATCAAAGATACCTGGCTTCATCAGCAATTTCTCCTAATTGAAACAGCTCCCAAGGCTGAATATTGGCTGCGTGCTTGGGTCAAAAAGGGGTAACAATTCCATAAAACTACCATCAGCTAAGTTAATAATCTTGTAGCCAAGCGCTAACTTGGAATCACTATTTTCCATGTGAAATGGCTATTTAAAATATGGAAATAAGTTTGGTCAATGTCTGTGCGACTATAAAGAAACTCAGTTTGATGTCTGATTTTTAGACATTGCAGTGACTGTGCAGGGGTGGGGTATAGTTAATTTTTGCGGGCTTTATGATTGCTTTCTTTACCTCTCAGACACAGGCAGCGTTCAATACGACTTTCATGTTCAGACGTCTGTCAGAGCCACCAGCCCTCTCTCTCACACTGAGGTGGCTCCGCTATATCACTGGCAGGGTAAAATGTTCTGACTGTTGAGAATCAGACTCTTCTGTACAGAGCTGTCCTTTTGGCATGGGGAATTGGGGTGACCTCTCCGGGCCCTGTGCTTTGGGGGCCCCATGGGCAGGTGTGATTGGCCGACACAACTGGTCTTGGAAGACATACACATGAGAATTAGAGGTATGGGGCCCCAAGCACCTGGGGACCTGGCTTCCAGCTTTGCACCGAAGTATCTGTTGCAGAGTGGAGGCCCCAAGTTGGTGGGGGCTGATTTGTCCCAGGCCCTGCACCCCCATAGTCACTCTGTTTCCCAGTTTCCACCACGAACTCCAGAGCATCACAGGCCTTTGCATATTAAGAGGCAAACTATGTATTCATTTGCTGGAACGTGTGAAATAATCATAATGCTCCTATATCATACCATTTTGATGAAGATCGTGGAGCACCTTCCACACAATGATTAAGGCAGTCACCATCACTGGAAGGTAGGGAATTATCCTTATCCCCATTTTACAGGTGGGGACTCTGAGTCAGGGAGAATATTGAGTTGCCCAAAGTCATACTGAAAAATCATTGTCAGATCCAGCATCCAAAACTGCTGACTCCCAGTCCTTAAGCTTCAGTCCATGTCCCTTCTACCTTTTATAGCATTAATGCACAGGTTCAGTAAGCTTGTTTTGTACAGCATGTGTGTTCAGTACATTGGGTGCACCATCCATGAATATAGCCATTGAAAGTATAAAGAAGCTTACAGCATACGCTCACGCTACTTTTTGACATGTGCTAGTATATAATGTTGCTGCTCCAGAACAAAAAAATTAGCTCAATTAAGTAATTGGTAATTAACAGCCCACTTCTGTCGTTGGGGAGTCCTTTCACTCCAGTGGGGGCTAAGGGCACTCCATATATTGCACAGACAGGCACAATATATACAAAATGGCAATTTCTACAAAGGTACAGAGAAACTTAGTACCCTGCAATAAATTCCCCATATTCTGAAATGTTGGGCTGGAATATAGCTCTGCACCATCCTACAGATATTCCTGAGGGTTCGCAGTACAGCAAAATCACTGTGTACCAGCAAAAATGGCACACAAGGAAAGATTGCCTCCATATATTACATCTCAGTATCGGTCTATTTTGAAAGCATAATTTTACTAAATGGTTGGTGCTTTTTGTTATGATGTTTTTCTTACCTCTTAATAGAAAGGGAGGTGGCTGTGGTAAGCAGCAGTGAAAAAAGGAGATGGAAGGTGAAAGCTAAACCCACGCCCCCACTTATGAGACACCAACTTTAATTAGATTGTTCCTTTTGTTTCAGTAGTGGTTTTCAGTTGGGGTAGAAATATCTGAAGTTATCTGCCATTATCGTGTGGCTGCACAGAGATGAATTTTTCTCAAACTCTGATCTAGCAGTCTTCTTAATCCCTAACCTGTAAAAACTGCCATTTCTGAGGCTGATTGGGGTTATTCTCTTTCTCTTTCTATATTGGTTGGGTCTGGCCTTCTTCAGTTGGGAGCCTCAGCCATTGTTTTTATTATAAACTGCATGATATGGTAGATTAGCAATGCTGTCCTTTTGGACTGATGCCAGATTACTGTGACCTCCATTACCTAAAGAGGTCAGGCTACAACTGAGCAAAGCAACACAAAAGGAAAAAGCATCTCCTTAGCGGCTTGAGTTTCTCAGCATTCCAGAAATGTTTGACTGGTGACAGGGAATGCTTTGCTGCATTTCTCCAAAATTGTTTTCTTTAACAGCGATAAAGTGTCGTTTGCTCAGTGGTACACAGTATCTTCATTTCCCTCTGGCTGCAAGAGAAAAATCAAATTACCTCTAGCTTAACTGATACGGTTTTATTTATTTGTTTTTTTCCCTGCTAAAATCTTTAGCTTTCAACAATATCTAATTAATTTCAGTTATGCAAAGCTATGCTTGTGCAGCTCCGAATTAAGATGGTCTGAAATCCAAGTGCTACCATTTGATGGGCACAACTATAAATAATACATGCAGGTTTTCCAAACAACTTCATTCCTCAATACACAGCAAGAAAAAGAAATATACATTTTTAAAACACAAGAGAACTCCAGGCAGTTTCAGGGAATACACATTGATTAGACAGAGATCCTGTGACATGGTTCCTAATGAACAGGAAACAGAATCCATTATTTCAGCTTGCCAAATCAATTCCAGCTCCTTTTCTTTCTGCTTTCTCTCTCCTTTAGAAGTATTTGCAAATTCCAGTCTGCTGGAAACTCACAGCATTCATGTAACCACAAAAATACATACGCAAGCACATGTGTATACACAGAGCAAAGGAATTATAACCACTGCACTTTATCATTTTGTGCTTGTAATTTAAAAGAGGTTATTTATTCTTGGTTTTAGCTTTGATGGAGAAGTAGTGGATTTTCTTTATGTTCTCACAGTTCAGAAGGTTAACCACTATCCCATGTCCATGCAAAAAAATGTTCACATCCATGTTGATCCTGGATTTCTCAGGAAGGAATCTACTGGTCCCATTCCCCCCCTCCCACCCCCCACCCCGATATGTTAAAGTTACAATTCAAGGATGTGACGAATTTCAAAAAGAGAACAAAGAGTCACTAATGAAGACCACATGTGTAGTGCTCTCCGTCCCTCTTACTTTAATTTAAAGCTGAACAGTCAAAGCCGTCTCTCAGAAGAGGAAGCCAGGGCTCCTCCCTTTCTTTCCTCCCACTTACCCACCAGCAGTTTCTGAATTAGGATCACAATTATTCCTGACATTGCCATTGGATGTCAGAATAACCCGAGGAGGGGGGACAAAAGCATCTTTACAGCAGACTGTTCTAAAGCCCAAGATAATTTGTTTCTCTGCCAAAGTTTCAGTGACAACACCAAAATCATGCCCACATACTTAAAAACATACTGCAACCTTTTGGGGGCAGCACATAGTGCTGTTACTTTTCATGAAGGGTGGCCTGTTTTAGGGATACCTCTGTCACAGTGTCTCCAAATCTCAATTAAGTCAATATTGTAAGTAAAGTTGGGAGGGAACCCCTAACAATCCTGGTTTTGAATGCTACAGACTTGGGGAGGGGTGGGAATTCTGAAGTCCAGAGCTGAATCTCACAACCATGATTGATCTCGGATTGTAACTAACTACACTCATGAAAAACTTTCATCAAACTATGGATGTTGGCACTTCTTCAAAGCCGTTTTCGTATGCAGAATGGAAAACATCATCCAAGTTTTAGTGAATTCCCTTTTCCCAATTCATTTGGACGTGGTACACTCATTTCCTGTTGCAACATGCTGTTTAATGGTTGTGGCTTTTCACTCCACAGGTGGCTGTGTTTCTGTGGTGAATCGTGTAATTTATTTTTTCCTATGTACATTGTAGAGCACTTCTGGATTCTTGGTGAAATTTATCAGGTGGAATGGTCCTATAAGAACATCATGGTATCCTCGCCTCCAGAAAAGAGAGATTGCAGCAGTGGCAGTGGACAGGAAGGATGGACAGTGTTTGTTAGAGCTCTCCCTCTCCTCATGCCTTCACTCTCTATGAAACCAGGACTCTGAGAGGCAAGAGGAGGGAAAAGAACCTTTATGAATCAAGAACTCTGGTGTCATCAATTCCAGACTGTGAGCTATTTTGTAAAGTTCGGATTACTGGGTGTGGGAAGTTGGGAAAGAAGTAACTGGACAAGGAGTCAAGTCACGATTCACCAGCCTTGGACTACAATGACATCAGAATGCATACAGTGTATCTGATCATTGGAGTTCCTTCTTTCAAGCACTGAACCTCTGAAGGAACCGATCCCTGTCCCCTGGAAAGTAGCAAAGAGAATGAAAAATGTTCAGAACTTTAATGGCCACTTTACCCCATAAGGGGTGGGTGCTCAAGAGAGAGAGAGAAGTTTATATAGGGAGGAGGGAAGGTGATAGAGGTGTGGGGATGGTTTATAATTTTTAAAGGGTACTAATGATCTGTCTGTAACCCACTGTTCAGGGTGTGTTAAGGGCACAAAGAGGACGAACAATACACTGTGACCATGGGTATACTACAGGGAGATGCTGTTGGAGATTGATTATGCAGGAAGAGGAAAAACACATAAAAGCAATGATTGTCGGCTAAGAGTCCTTTGCTTCAGAGGTTAGTGGGAATATTAAGGAATTGTGTGGCATTCTGGCTAGATAGGGAATTCTTGAAATGATAATGGAAACAGATTTTACACAATATAGAACTAATGGGCTGCTCTTTGCAGGACTCATGCCTGTGTACTGTTACTGTTTCCCTTCTTGTTTCCCTGCTAGTGCTTTGTCCTGTTGCTGGTATCTTAATTTTCATTAGACAGTGACCTTTTCACGAGTGAGGCCATTCATTTGTGTAGATGAATTTATATATTTGTGCAGCACTTAACACAGAAGGACATCCCGATTCTTAATCATAGGAGGCAGGTAAAAGGAGAGGATGATTTTTATGAAAAAAAGATTCCCTGTGTATCTATTTTGTTCTCTTTGAAATTTAGAAATTTGAAAACTTTCGTTCATGTGGGCTAGTAATAATGAGGATGACAGACACTATACAAGGTAAGATGCCTTTGTTCTTGCCCTCCCCTTTTCCTGCTGTACCCCTTGTCTTGGCATGTTCTCGGTGCTTATATAGCTTTGTGCTCTGGGTGCTGATAACTTCTTCACTCCTGACACATCTCCTTCCATCAGGTCCCTCACTGCAGCCTCTCTGACTGACATCTCCTCCTGAATGTCTCATTCTTCACTGAAAATTAACATGGCCAAACCTCTGCCCCCTTAGTTCCTCTTTAGCTCCACCCTCCGCTCACCTGCTGTTTCCCTGTTGACCACCTTATTATCCTATCTGTCACTTGGACCCAAAACCTAGGCTTGTCTTGGGAGAATGGGAGGGGAAGGAGACAAATATCTAAGTTGGATACATATCCTTACACCTGTCCCTCCACACTATCTTTAAGATCTGACCTTCCCTTTCTGTCATGACATCTAACCCCCTCATTCAGACACCCATTGTTTCCTGACTTCATTATTTAAAACTTTTGCTTCCCTGACTGACGCCACTCTCACCCACCTCCAGTCTCTGCTAACTGCCAAGATGCTCCTACCATATCCTTTCTTCTCTGGATTTCTTCCCTGGCTCCATCTCCTCCACTACATCAAGTTAAAAAATCACATCCTAAACTCCGCTTTCTGTCTGTCTGTACGACTACTTCTTGCACAACAACGGTCCTTTCTAGCCATGGAATCTATGAAATCCATGCAACTGTCTCAGTGGAGCTACAGCACACCCCTATCTGCATGAAGGCCTTTCCTGGGCTGGCCCACAAAGCAATTGTCCTGTCCAAGTTTGTATCTCTCCTGAAGACCCACTGCTACCAGGATGATTACAAGGAATTAGATAATTGCAAATGGAAAGTATTATCAATACAAAGCCAGTCATCACCTTAACAAATTCACTTGTTTTTATCCCTAACCTAAACTCTGTTTGTCTGGAAAACACAGCAGAACAGTTTTCCTGTGTTTGTACCGCATTTAGCACATTGTGGGTGCCATGGGAAAATTAAAATATGAAAATATTTATGTATATGTGACTATTGCAAAATGGGCAGTGGCAGTGAAATCCTTAAAATAATAATACTTTTGGTTAAATTTTGCACTGTAATTTTTATGAAACTTTGAAAGGTAAGGAGGTTAACTCTCTCTCAGCACTTCCCCATATCCTTAAACTTTGACTGGCTTTGAACTGTAAAACTCTCTCACACAAACACATGCACAAATGTATACACGCTTACATTACTGCTTGTTAATATTAGAAACATACTACTTTATGTGGTAGATGAGCATTGTGCCATTGGAAGGAATATTTCCTCTATAAAAAGAGACCCATAAAGGCTAATATGTGGCTGAAGGCTCATGTCTACAAAAGTGGTCTATTTTCTCATAGGTCAATGGCGCTTTCCACATTGGCTTTTATACCATGGCTTCCAACAATTTACAGTTTGTTTCTACAGAAAACTATTTCTGTCCAGGAAGCTTCTAACAATCAACAACAATTGGCAGGAGGGAAGATAGGGGAATTTTTTGGAGGGGAAGTGGGAGGGGAGGGGAGGGAAGTGACCTATTGAAGGGTTTTATAGTGAACTTGAGAGAGGGGGCTGGGCAAGGCTATTGTGAAACAGAAAATACTGAAAGCTTTGGAGGGGTCATGGAATTTTCCTACTATCAATTTTCAGTGGAGAATTAAGCTTCAGTGTATATGACTTGTTTGAGAAATTTTGTTTATGCAAGTTTACACATAATTAATCCCGGGTTAGCAAAGCATTCCAAGGTTTTATGAAAACAGGTTTCTTTTAAAACAAATAAACATTCCTCTTCAGTATTTACAATCTAAATTCATTGCTGGCACTTCAGCATTATGCTAGTCCCTGAGAACCCAAGAGAAAAATTGATTAAAACCCAGGAGCAAAATTGATTAGTCTAGTTTCATTGTCTAAGCAGATAGGAATGTACAGAGTAAACCCAATCAATAATGAAAAATAAACTCACATTTTAAAATTTCATAGGATTTCATAATTCAAAGCATAATTTGTCACACAGTTAAGATTTGTTTATAAAAACTTGTTTTTTAACCTGACGCTTTCTCTTATATTTATATTTGAATCTTTTTTATGTCAATGTGAAAGGAATTTCTCTTTTTTTAGAAAACGGTAACATTACACATGCAAAGTTGTAGAATTTTCAGGGTTTCAGGCAATTCTCTGAACTCTCCATGTTGGAGTCAGTGCACCACATAAGGCATTCTAAACATATTTCTGCTTTTTTTCCGGATTTCTCGCTTTACCACTGGGTTTTTTGCTGACTATTTTGTCAGCTTTCCAAACACATAGTGCGGTCTCGAGATTTAAACCAGCTGTGATCTCATTCAATACTGATCAAGTTAGATTCAGTTAAACAGTGCTGTGCTCCTCCTGAAGGGAGAGAACATGTGGCCACAGCAGTGAAGGGCTCCTAGGGCATAAGGAAAGGAGTGCTTTCTGCGTGACAGAAAGGGGAAGTGCTATTTAATTCCTTAGCAGTGTCATTCTGTGAATATAAGAATGCTGATGTGGAGTTGATCTTCCAGGGATACACAGGCCAAAGAGTCAGTCTGGATCACTGATTTTGTATACCCACTTTTTGCATACAGCTGATGCGTTTTGGATGAGCTCTTGGCTTCTCCAGTATTGCTTGATGCGCACAACAGGGCCATGAGCACACCTCCTGTTCAACACAGCTGCGCTCCCCGGGTTATTGGTTTTGCTGTTCTTCACACTGGCAGCCATTTGCCCTGAATAGAGGCTTTGTGAGGGGAGAGGCACCCACTGTTTGTTTTGAGGACTGTCCTGAAGGGAGTCTCATTATTGTTCCATACTGTTTGGGATCTTTTACCTAATTAAGTGGCTCTCTCCTTTGGGGGCTGTTTTCCTTCCATCCCAGTGTGTGTATGTTTATAAAAGGGGTGGAGAAGGCCAAGAAGCATCCGCTCTGTCCTAAATTCCCAGAGTGGGCCGGGTCAGATACGTCTGAGTGTTTGTCACAGCACAATAGATATGAGCACTTCTACTAAACTTCTTCAAGATAGCCAATGGCCTTTAGAGACAACATCGGTCTGTCTTATAGCTCTCCTGGTCTATCTTCCTTCTGTGGAAATGTCACCCCTTTGCTGGCTTCATTGCTGAGTGAGTCAGACAGCACTCCTGAAAGCACAACTTCAGTGGGGATTGATGCTGGCGCCATGCAGCTCACTAGGCCAAGCCGTGCAGTGGAATTAACAAGATACACATTAACTTGACCATCTCATATATCAGTGTCAAAATTGACCTTCTTCCCAAGTAAATCGTGGGACAAACTGACTGTAATGATTTGGAGGTTCACATTCTCCTGTCATGTATGTCAACAGTACTGTTTCCCTGCACAAAGCCGACTGCGATTGCAATGCATATATTTTTAAATGAATTTCCGGGGGTCTCTGTTGGATTTAAACACAGATACACTTACATAAAGGCTTGCTTTAATGTATCTCTATGGTTCAGGAAATAATCCTGTGCAACGCTACCAGAGCAGACCAATGCTCTTTCAATTCGATCCTGGAGCAATGCTATGAAAGAGCTGGGTAATGGGAAAGCATTTAATATTGTTAGAAGAAAGATCCACACAACAGCACAATAGCAGCTGTGGAAGCAGTCTGATTTGACTCAGACCTCAGCCTGACTTCTCTTAAGTGAAGAATAGCTCTAAAGCTCCAGTACCTGCTTGATAGCACCAGAGCCTATCATTCCATAATTTAATTTGTCTCTTTCCTTACCTTATGAACTGTCAAAGTGAATTCCTCTGTCACTCGAAGAATTATGATGCTGCTTAGCCCTGTTTGCTGACAGAAACTTATTGGTCTTTCAAGTTCAACTCCTCCTTATTCATTGGGCTGGGAGGAGAAAGGACAGAGGGATGAGGGGAAAAAAAATGTTTTCTCCCAGAAGGTGTGGTTGGGGAAAGGTCTGATCTAAGGAATGGATGTTACAGCAGTTCAAATAGATTCTTTTTCTAGTTCCCTGTCTGAGATTTCACTGAACCTCTGTTTACTAGAACACGGTACTGTGAAGGCAAATGAAATTGGATACATTTAGCTATTTCAGCAGCGGCGGCTTTTCATTTGACTGGAATGTCAGGAGGCAATTGGAATAGAACCTGCATGTACTCTTAACATCACAGAGGCATCCAGTAACTCAACGCTTGAAATAAACACTGGGGTTCACGTCCTTGCAGCTCTGCCTTGCAGCTCTGCCATTTTATTAATAGCTTGTTGTTTTCACAGTTCAGCTTCACAGGCTGTAAAAGAGCCCATATTGCAGATTGAGATAACGCTATTGAAAATAGGAAGTTTCATTCATAAGTACTAAGACATGGATTTCATATGCTTGTTAATTTACAATCTTTCAGTGCACTTTCCATGTAAACTGAAGAGTAGCTTACATATATTAAAGTGCCACCTAACCCACAATACTCATACCCCGATCTGGGGTCAATAGCACTATTGTATTTTGTATGGGCTTTATGGTGATTAAATAGAAATACTCCTATGTCAACTCCCAATGTAAGTTTAACTCAATCATAGGGTTTGGCTTTACTCTACAAAGTGCCTCTATACAAATGACATTGAAGGGTTGCATGTTTATTTGTCTGCCATGGCCTTCAGAGTAGTGGAGAGACAGCACTACTGTATTGAAATTGAGACTTATTTTTTATTTACTATATGTTCAGTTTTCAATGTAACTGATGGGTTTTTTTTTCCAATCCTGAAATAAGTCACATTGCAAACCCAACTTTGAGTCAGTTTGGGTTTTTTCCTTCTTATCCATCTTCTCCAGCAGTAAATGTTCTGCAAAGCCAAATTAGTCCATAAGGGACACCAGTGTATATAGTGTCAGTACCTTCAACAGGTGTAACTGTTTGGACTGTGATACACAGTTCTGTTATATGGGGTATGCTGTAAGAAGTAGTCTCCGTTTTCCTTTTTCGCAGCTTTATTGGCTCTGCAGGGCTAAGCAGGAATAATAAACAGTGAAAATATATCTAGAAAATATATCCTAGAAAAACAGAGTCCATCTTTCCCCAGTTCCATGAATAATTATTTATACTGACTAGAACAGCTCCAGCAGGAGAGACAGACAGAGGGAGACTGAGTCTCAAGCCCAGTGGATTCAGAATCAGGCAAAGCAGGGATTTAATGTTGGGTCTTCCACCTCCTTTGTGAGTGCCCCAACCTCTGGGTTCTTGGCTAATCTGATATAGTTTTGACTAGAAATTCCCTCCTCAATCTGTAAAACATTCCTGATGAAAATTTAATCAAAATGGGTATGTTCCCATAAAAAAATCAGTTTTGATAAATTGGCATTTTCCCAAGATAAAAAAGGAGTTTTTTTGAAAAATTACCAACTAGCACTATGTTTTTAGATCAATTCATCATTAGACATAGCCTGCAGCTAGACCTGGTTTATATGGGTGTGTCTAGTCTACAGGGTTTTGTCGACAAATGTGGACGTTTGTCGACAAAACTATACCTGCGTCTATACTACCGCCAAGTTCTGTTGACATAACGTTGACAGAACTCAGCAGTTTTGTCGACGGCAGTAAACCTCATTCTACGAGGAATAACACCTTTTGTCAACGGAGTTCCGTTGACAGAAGGCGTTATTGCATCTACACTGTTCTTTGTGTCTACACTCTCTTGTCGACAAAGCGGCTTGCTTTGTCGACAGAACTGGCTGTAGTCTAGATTCTCTTTGTCGACAGAAGCTTTGTCGACAGTATCTGTCGACAAAGCCTCTGTCGACAAAAGCCTGAAGTCTAGACTAGACATATTTGACCAGCTAGGTCAGCTTAAGGTATGCAACTCTAGCTACACAAAATGCCTAGCTGGAGTCACGCCCATCAGCTTCCCTAATTCCTTGTATCATGAGGAGTACTGGATGTCAGTAGGGACTGCTCTCAGCATTCCATTTACGGGTCTATTTTAGACGCACTAAATAGAATGCTAGAAGATCAACCTCTGGAAGGCTGATCTCACAAGTGTAAACATGCCTCTAAAGAGCAGCATGGACCATGGAAGCTGTTCTGATAAATGAGAGCAGAATTATGACCACAATACAGTACATTTCTACTTTAAAATAATATGAATTGCTTGCTTGCCCATTGCATTGCTACATTTTTGTATTTGTTTAGTTCATCGTTAATTTCTGACCCTCCTTGCCAGGATTCCTACTCTGTGTTCCTTTGCTCTAAGTTTGATATTGGTGTTTAGCATCACACTGTCTTCTGGCATTGACCATCCAATGGTGCATGGAATTTGGATCCGTGCAGGTACCAGCCTGATCTCTGAATAGCTGTACTTACCATATAACTAAACTTTTCAAATAGTGCCAGTATCCCAGAGTGTTTTCATCTGCAATATTCAGGCTATCTTTCTTCAATCAATATTCGATGCCCTGATTATTGGCATGGTACAGAGGCCCAATGCATATAGTGAGGCTGTTGAATAACAA